CTCCCCTGTCCCAGGGGTCCCGAGGGTCCCATGCCAGCTGCTGAGGCTCAGGCACCTCTGGGACAGACAGTCCATAGCAGGGATTAGTGAGGGAAAACCATTCCCTATCCCAGTCATTGGGAAAAGCCATCCCTGCTCCAGGCCTTTCCCCACCCTCAAAGCTACCCTCTTAAATCAGCTGGTTTAATTCTGGAAACTTTTCTTATTCTGGGATATTCTATAATTCAGTGATTCAAACACTGAACTGTGATGCAGAGTGTGCTTGTGGCAAAGCGAGCTCCTAGGGTGCTGTTGCTGCCCTCCCAGCCCACGGGAGTGCTGCAGCTCTCACCCTCACGCTGCTGGGAGATGGAAACCACCCCTGATTTTGCTCCTTACTGATCCCTCTGGGTTTGTGGGACGTTCTGTCAAGTGCTGCCACCAGGCAGGGCTGGGCTGGGCTGTCCCCTCTGGGTGCAGCCCCCTGCCTGACTGTGGCACCCCAGCCCCAACTTGTGCTTGCCTTGCTGTGAGATGGGTGCAAAAAGCACTTAGTGCCATCAGGCATCAGGGCTGGGGCAGGGTGCAGGGAGGGCAGTTTTCCTGACTGCCCTTGGCTGACCCCCCGAAGGAAGGTACAATAAAGCAGTGATTGCAAATGAGTCAGTGTGAGCTGTGCATTCCTTTGGGGAAAGCTTTTCGCTTGTGTGTGGGCAGGAAAAACTAAACTCTGGGCACTACAGAGCACACCAAGAAATGAAACTGAAACCAGGCTCCGGCTGCTGGGGTGCTCCGTGCCTTAAGGCACACCCCCTCCTGCCAGAGGCCCCACAGCAGCAGAGGTGCCCGGGAGCCGCTGGCTCCTGCCTCTGGAGCCCGCAGCAGCGCAGTTTGTTCCTCGCTGCACCGGTGGCAGCATCTGCAGAACTGGAAGAGCACTTGTGCCCTCTCTTCCTGTCCATCCATCCGTCCGTCCCCCCACACAAGGAGTGATCAGCGCAGACGGAGCAGGTTTCTCTTCACGCCTGGGGTTGTGCTGGGAAAGCTACTCTGCTGGCCTGGGGGTAGAAAAGGGCTTGGATTCGTGTGTGCTCAAAGCGTGTGCGCGAATGAGTGTGTGAGGGCTGCTGTGGCCCACCATCAGCGCAGTCCCAGTTGGAACAGGGCATGGGGACAACCGCGTCCCCACTCCGGGCTGGAGGATCGAGTAGGATGTATTTTCCCCCATGCACTTGCCCTCGCACTGGTGTGAAGCACCCCACG